TCTTTTTTGTTATTGGATACGAAAATAAATATGAAAAATGAGAAACAGAAATAGAAGAAAAGAAGATGAAAAGATAGAAGATGGAAAGATAAGAAAGTGAAAAGATAGTAGATGAAAAGATAAGAAGATGAAGAGATGAAAAATGAAAAGATGAGAAGATGAACAGAAAGATAGAATACCAAACTTTTGAGTGGTGCTCTGATACCAGATGATGCGATCCTCCAAGATCGGGCACTCTAAAGTTGGTAGGGATAATCCTTTAATCCAATGGAAGCGGAAATTCCAAAGGAAAAAGCGGTGGAACCTTAGAAAGGTGATGCAGGTAGCTCCAATAGTGAGTATATTAAACTCACCACCTGATACTAACTTATACCGCAAACAACTAACTTCAGTCGGTAGAATGGCCACATAAGTGTGATGAAGAACACTTGATAAACCGGGTTGATCCCTTGGATATGACACACCAAGACAGATCGAAATGTTCACAAGGAACAAAAAGAATCACTCTCAAAAGGTTTTATAAAAAAAAGGGTTGTTGTTCTCAAATGAGATTACATGAGTTATATAGAAATAAAATGAGTAGACCAAGAGGTAAACTCGTGTTCAAAGCTTTAACTAAAGAAAGACTTAATAAAAACTAAGTTTGAATGACTCTGAAGCTTCAAAAGTGACTCTTGAAGTGATTTTGTGGATGCCTCTTTAACTCTTCCTTCCAAGGCACGAATTGGTCTTCTTTAAGTGAATGGGCTAAGTAACTTTGTGATCCATTTGCCTCATTAAAAATTTTCCTGGAAAACCCACTGGGACAAAACCAAGGATAAGGAAAAAGAGTACAAACGATCACAAACCCATTAGAGTTCTTCTTAGACTTGGATCATCATTAGAACTTCTTGAGTTGAATCTTCTCCATTCCAGTCCGAGTTCTCTTTGGATGTGAGCATTTGGTTAAGTAAACCTCCAATTCGTTGTATGAATCTCTTAGCTTTAGCGCGAGTCAAAAGTCCAGTTGCTGGTACAAGCATTGCATCCGCAGGTTCAAGCTCAGCCTCCTCATATTCTTCCTGATTGCCTTGCATGATCACATCACTGGTCCTTAATCCTTCTTAGACCTTCCACTTTTTCCACTCTTTCTCATCTTGCTTTTTCCCGCCTGAGATATAATCATGTTAGAAATCACCTAACAGTCGTATAATCCCTAACGAGTCTAAGTAAAACTTAAATAAAACCCTAGCGCGAGATATTATAGCCGGATGAGTGGCTTTCCCCATACCCCACACGTGACTGGTCTAGGAGAAAGCATGCTCTGATACCCACTTGAAACACCCCTCCCAGCCACTAAGCCCGAGAGGTTGTCCCACACTCAGATCAGTAAGTAATCCGAGTAATTCAGTCTATTTTAAGGGTCTATTCTTTAATCAAGTTCATTTAATGAGTTATTGTGAGATTCATAAACAATAGAGTCAAGATTCATTAGGTAAACATACAGCTGGATTTTTATTTATATAACAAGTAGGATTCGATACAAAGTTAGAGTTTGCACTATAGGTTATCACAATGTTCGATCCTAACTATCCAGTCTATTCCACCACTCATCCTTCCTAGCCCTTGTCTCGCGCGCCTAGTCTTTCTCCTTCCCACGGTCACCTTCTTTCCCTGAAACAGTCAAAGAGACTTAAGTAACTCTATCTTTACTTAGTGATGCAGTAACCGCCTAAGGATGACTATATGAATGGACCCTGATACGTCTACCCCCTTCAATTTAACATGTTCCCCTTTATTTCCTGAGTTCTCAGACTGGACTTTGGTTTAGAGTAACCGTTCTGACTATGGCCGAGCCTTACTGGATTTTATTTTGATCTCTAAGCCACTCGCCGTGTCATGGTTTACTTAGTATCAGACATAGCTGAAACGGTGCGAGTCATCCGTGACTTAATTGCATACCGTCAGGACTATCCGAGACTTAACCTGAATCTAGTCGAGTTTGACCATGACTGGCCTTCGGCCGTAGTCACGCCTTCGGGTGATGAACCGATCAAATATGATCTTTCCTGGGCTATTATGCAGAGAAATAAGAATATAATCCATGAAGGAGAGATTTAGCCGATTAACCACCTATCTGATCCTTAGACACTCTCGTCGAAGCGACAATCTTAGATCGGATGATCGGATCCCGGACTTAGCACTCACATATGTCGTACGTTCGGATGGTTCAGTGTGTTTATCCCAATCTTTGGCCATAGGAGACTCCATCCTAGGAAAACTCCTCACGATAAGCTTTTCTTCCGAGGTTCCTCACACGTAGTTCGGTGATTCTCTCGTTGCTCAACTATCACCGGGAACGTTCGGAGTAACTCTCTTCTCTCTCGTCTATTCCTCTTTTCTCTCGGATATTTTCTGTGTTTCCGGGGAAAAACTCCGTAAAAAGGTCTGTGTACACGGAGAAGATGGCCACGAGTCTTTTGTAGGATTTTCGCCCACAACTGTTTATTAAACGTACAGGTGCCACATCCCCATTCAGTAACAGTCATATCCATTCGGCCATAACGCGCTACACACTTAGTACGTGCGGGTTCAAACTTTATCCGAACATCTTCTCACCGGCCAACCAGTTAACCCATCTAGTTGACTAGCTAGCTCCACTACCCGGCCTGCTAGTGGTGGTAGTTGCCGAGCTGACCCAACTGCCAACACTCCGTCCAGCTGATTTGAGTTCCTCATCAGTTGCCCGAGCTGGTTTAGCTCAGTCCTTCAGCTCATTTTAGCTCGGCTATTTAATCTTAGCTCGGACTTACTTGTTCAGCTGACTGGAACATACAGAGCTAGCTTTTCCTTCTTCTCCTGACCTTCTTCAATTTTCTCCTGGATTCATCGGCTAAGTCCTTAACTTTCCCGGACTTAACCTTTCCTTTCGGACCATGGAACGGATTACTTTGTTTTATCCGACAAGTCTTCCTCCATTCCCGACCATGGCCCAGCCCGACGAACCTAGTAAGGTTCGGGGCCGTTACAGGTTTTATTATCACCGCTTATGTCACTTAGAGCTATTTGTGTAGAAAACTCGGTTGCTTCAAAATTCGAAACATCTTCATTGGCTGCTGGAGTAGATGAATTATGGGCTCTTTGAGATGAAAAGGGCATCACCGATCCATAAAATGGACGATAGTTTGGAACGGCTAACAGCATGAAGAAATTTGATACAAAACCGTAATTTAATATAATCTAAGGAAAGTTGGAAGAATAATTTTGGATTTAATAACTATGGAAACTTAGATAGTTAAAAGGATAATTTTGAGTGTTAAAAGAATTACTATTATCAGATCTACATTGTAAAAATTGTGGCAGGTGCCCTATACTAATTTATAAAGTTTTTCTATTTACTATCACAAGTAATGCAATGGTTGAGATAGTTTGTTATTGATGTGTACACAAGTTTCTTAGGTGCAGAGTTCGATTATCAGTCTCTCTCTAGTTAAATATCAAACTTTTGTAATTTATTTTTTATTTGCCACATTTTCTTTTATTTATTTTTTTTTCTTCTTCCATGCTTTTATTCTTTTTTCGATTGATTGGATTCCCTCTCTCTCTCTGATTAACTATCAAACCTTTGTTATGAATTTTTTATTTATTATATTTTTCTAATTTATTTCATATTTTTGTTTCTGTTTTTATATTTTTCATTTCTTTTATACATTGTTGTTGTTTTATTATCAACATGCATATATGTAACATATCAATATCATGATACAAATATATTCTAGTTAAATCAATAATACTTTCTAGTAATTATACGATTTGGAATGGGTTTACAAAATATTTTTAAAACTACTTTTATATATTAATTGAGGAAGAAATATTATATATACTTCTTAAATATAATTTTATTTGTTCCTTATTGATTCTGGATCTGCCTCTGATTAGGATCTATTTCACTAAAAAAAACTTGTTTAAAATATCAAACAAGAGTTTTTTTTCTAATAAAAAAGATATTATAGAAAGAATGACTTTTTTGTTTCCAAATTAAATGAAATAATTCTCTAATTATAGAAAATGAAAATTGATAAATTTTTATATAAAATTTGTAAAACAAAAAATTAATGTGTAACAAGATAATTCAATTGAGATTAAAAAAATATGAGAAATATCAACAATTAATCAAAAACCTACAAGTGTCCCAATCTAAACAATTTGTGCATGAGTACAGATTTCTGGATTTTGCCTAACTGATGCAACCTAAACTTTTGATTTTGCCACTCTACATTTGCCAAATGGCACTAATAGCCCTCAATTTTTGCTATTCAATATGTTATAATTTTTCAATTGTGTTTTTGTCACATTATTCAATCCCATTTACAATATTTATATATATTTTACTTGTTAAATTTATTTTCTAACAGTCTTATTATAGACTAAGGATTAGTAAAATAACAAAAACAATTTTTAAAAAATTTCTTGATTTTTTCCAGCATAATTAGTAAAATTAATTTTCCCTTGTACTTTTCATCCCAAATAGTAATTTTCTAGAAAAAGATTGTCAAATTTCTTTAATTTTATTCTTTTTAACATGCAACCATTTGCAGCACTCTTAAGTATTTGTAGGAATCAATAATTCCATCTTCTTCCAATTAAAGTGCATTGTGTAATTTGTTTTTCTTGATCCAACGCGAATTTCAATTTGATATAGAAAAGATGTCACCATGTGGATGAAGACATACAGCCTCTTATTAATGTTATCATATGTTGTAGGTGAAAGGTAAAGACCAAACCAGATCTCACATGGACAAATCAAAACCTTTCTCGTAACTTAAATTCTGCCATTACTCTTTGGTTCTGTATCTTATCAAAGTTGTCACTAACTCATCATACTCGAGAGAATCAAAGGCATAAAAGCTAGAAAAAAAGTGAGAGTTCAGTATCTGTATAGTGATTGATTATCAAGTAATATTTAACATAACATCTACATTTTAAGTAGTAACCCTTTCAAACAAACTTTAGGAAAAGAACTAATCACGCTTCTCCTTCTCTACTTTCTTCCCAATCCAATTAGCTACAATAGGAGTCAAAGCCACCGTAGGAGGAAACCTAATCGGTGATGCAGCTTTATGCGCTGCGTAAGCCAGAGCAAACGCACCTACTTTCTCTCCTGTCTCATTCGTGGATATCCCAACCTTCAAAACAAAACCAAGAACACATCAAGAATCAGCTTTCTACTCAATCCCAAGATCAAGAAAACATAACTTTAGTGTATATGATTAAGAAGAAGTGAAGAAGATCAAGAATTAGCTTTTACTCAAATTCAAGAAAAAATATCTTAGTGTATGTATGATCAAGAAGTGAAAAGTAGACCTTGAGAAGAAGAGCTTGAACATCAACACCTGAAGTAACGAGAGCGTAGCAGAGTGAGAAGGAAATGAGTGAAAGAGTAATGGATGTTGCAAGATAAGCACCACCATACTTTGCAAGTAGCTCCTTAGCTTCATCTGTTTTGGATTTCTTCTGCTTCTTCTCTCCATCAGATTCTTCTTCATCCTTTGAGCTCAATATCTGTACTCATTCAAAGACCATTTTAGTCACCCTGAAAGCTTTCATAGCTTTTAACATCTTCCAAAAAGTTGTCAATTTCTTCATCCTTTTAGCTCAATATATGTTCATATAATCATTCAAACATCCTTAAAGCTTTCCATATTTTGTACATACATATTAAATTGACAAAATTTATACTCATTCAAACACCATTTTAGTTACTGTGAAAGCCTTCAGCTTCAAAAATTTGCTAATTTTCGTCATCTTTGACTCAATCTGCTCATATAATAATTCAAACAACCTTAATTCCAGATTTTGTACAAACAACCAAAATTTGTCTAAATCGTAACATATAAACCCGAAACAATTATATTTGAAGATACTTTTTAACCAATATCATTCAGATTACGAATTGCTTTTACCAAATTTTCGATTCGTCTGATATATATGAAGAACGGAATCAAAACCAGAAATTGAAGATGAGAACGAAGATAAGAGGAAGAAAATGACCTTCCATAAACCAACTTCGAGTCCATATTTCTTCGTGACTTCCTCGGCTGAAGAAGAAGAAGGAGAAGGAGAAGGAGGAGGAAGAGACGAATTGTTCTTCTCGATCTCTTCGGCTTTCTCTCGGACGGCTCTGCATCTAAACTTCGTTTTAGACTCCGACGACGAAGCTCGAATTGAAGAGTGGAAGAATCGGATTTTAGGGTTTTGGGTGTTGTTCCATAAGAAAGACGGAGTCGGAGAAGACGAAGGGAATTGCAGAATCATCATCGCCATTGTTTTAATTTGTTTTCAGCAACCAGAAAAAAAAAGAAATCATTTTATCTTAATGTTATGTTGTTTAAGTTTAGATTAGTGTTTTAAGAAAAGTTGCAAAGCTAATCATCTAATATTACCGATAAAATGTTAAAGAGGATGAGGTTGCTTTCGTTTAGAAACACTTAACACACGTATGGTGAGAATGCAAGCCAAGTCGCCAAACATTACCATCTCAAGAAAGTGAGAGACAGTGTGAATAAGAAGGTCGAGTTTTATAAAACGAAGACTTTAAATTTGAGTTAGTAAGTATAAATCATGAAAACCTAAACTCTTAGAGGTTCTCATGAGATCAGAATTTGGGTCAAATTTTATTTAAGCTTTGTGATGTGGCAATACAACTTGGGGTTCGGATGTCTAGATAAAAAGTGATTTATTCCGAATTGTTGGTAGAATCGTACCTAAACATCTTTAGAATTGATAAAAGAGATCATCAAATAACAAATTTAAATTTAAACAGTTGGTCCTGAAGGAGAGAGATCCGATATAAAGAGCGTTTGTGAAATGTTCTGACTCGGATTTCCAAATTGCAGTACAAAATTAACTCCGCCATTTCCTAGCTAATCTCAGATATTTCTAACTTTTTTATATTTAATTATTTTTCAGTATTTTTGTAACATCTGTCTCTTTCAAATCAAAACGGCATTTTAAAATGTATTAACTTTCATCACAAGAAACCACTTGCTAGTTTAATATCACTTTTATTCTAAAAAAATCGTATCCAAAATATTTTACAAAGATTATTTTAATTTAAATAACAAATCTAAATTAAATAACGTCTTTGAAATAAATAACCAATAATAAAATAAAACTTGTGTCTTCCCAAAACTATTACCAAGTCACAAAATTATTCTTAAATATCTACGCACTCACCTGTAGAGAAAAGAGGGATGAATATTCCAATAATACTCAGTAAGGACAGGTCATAGGGACCCACGATATACATCTCGCACATGCATAACCATTCCAGACAAAAGTCCTAAGCTAATACACACAAGCAATCACGTTCAAATACACTCATAGATCAATAAATGACATCCTAGACCGAACTGGTGCATCCACGCCTTCATTGGCACACACCTCGTGGCATATAGCAGCCCACATGCTGTCCGTCCTCAAGATGCAGGGCTCGTCAAGCCGCCAACAATAGAACTATGGAGCACCATATGCCTCCATATCCAAAACCATACATATCAAAAGAGGTCCCTACATCTAATCCCAACCCGCAAGTGATTTTTCCCACTTAATGCAAACACCCGCAAATACTATTCATAGATCAATCAAAAGTATTTCGTTTGACAACCTATGGTACTAAGTTCATCAATCATCAACCGCAGGACAATAATAATTACTATGGTGTTATTAACGCGTTACTAATCAGGTTCAACCAACAATCAAATATGTGTATTCATACAGATACAACACATGTATGCACGGATTAACAAAGGACTACTCAATAAGAAACGAATATGAATCTGAGAGAGATAGATCACGACCAGTCCTCACCTTAGTCTCAAATCGGAAGCAGAAAACAGAAATGAAAGGAGATCTGGTTATTGCGGGTCCTTGCTGAACGGATCAAGGCGTCTAACGAGAAAAATAACCACAGATTTGAGAGGAGGGCGCGAATGAGAACATTTCCGGTGACTGGCGATTTTCCGGTGACTTTTCCGAGGGCGGCTCTGGCAAGAGATTCCAGTGGGAAGTGGGCAGAGCTTATGTGGTAGCCCGACCCGGCAAACTATACCGCAGCCGTGCCCCACTACATCCTAACAGTTTGGTTCTAAACTTAGCCAAATTTTTAAACTTTTTCTTTCATCTAACCAATACACAGCGGATTCAGAAACAACTCATTTCATTAATAAACTTGCATAAAAACACTTGATCAGATTCAGGGTTAACTTAAACAAATCAGAACGGTTCACTAATGAATACATCATATCATCTAGCAACCTAAAATGCTTAACACCAAAGCCCATAAGACAAAACACACGTCTTAAACATAAATAAACACCCAATCCCCGATCCATCCATGTCCATCACTGCCGCCTGGTCTCGCTTCCTTTACTGCTTAGTACCTGCACACTCAAGAAGAGAGACATAAGTATTTGATAAATACTTAGTGAGTATGTTCATCTTTTAACACCTGGTCAGTACCAATCACGCATTCATACTATCGGATTCAACATCCCACACAATCAATTCGCAATAGACATAACATATATATCAAACAGCTATGATCATCTAACATTACCAACCAAGATCAATCCCTTTTTAAGACCCATGTCTACTTCAGCGAGAATCCCACATCCCCTAAGCTAGTACATGATCCAGATTACCCTGAGGTTAGCTAGACATCATCTATGCCACGGTAAACACCTCACAATACCATAACACATAATCGCTTAACAGTTCTAACACACAACATGACAATCACACAATCAAACATGCAAAACATTCAACCCTAGCAATCCAACTATCCTAGACACCAACCACAGTCACATACTCACCTTAAACAAGGTTGGAAACAGATTGGTTAAAAAAAATCCCGATGAAATCCGCGTGGAAACGAAGATATCCGACCACCCTAGGAATCTCTCGGCTGTCCATACGATTCGATCCCTTTCCCTTCGGCTATCTCTCGATCCGTTCACCTTTCTCCGAGCCAAACTCTGTTTACCCTCGGAAACCCCACAAAACAAGGCTATTAGCTCGAGGTTATCTGATATGAACATGGAAGACATTGGTGAGCTTGCAGCCGAGGAGGAACAAAATTCAAACAAACATGTAGCTGATGATGATCTAGAGGTTCATGAAGGTCCCATGACTGATATTACTATATATTTTGCATATTTTGCATGCATTTAAGATAGTTTCTCATGCATTCATCTTGCATTATAGGCTAGTTTGCACCATTTTAGGTCCTACAGCACTTTTGCATTAGCATTCTCATGTTTCTTGCATTATGCATCATATTCAGGTTGTTTTTGGACACTTTAGAGCTGTGGAGGATTCATGGACATGCTAAGGCTCGTGAGGAAGCTCGTGGACACTTGGAGAACTCAGCTGTGCATGCTAAGGACCCGAGATAGAGTAGCGGATCGAGCAAGGTAGGTCGATCTAGATGAGATTGACCAGAAGATCGAATTACCCAAGTCGATGCATGGGGAAGAATCAAGACCAAGATCGAAGGAGGAGATCTGTAGCATCCGTATCCGAGAAAATCTGAAATGATCGAGCCGGACAGGAGGTTGTCAGAAGGAATGTGAGTTCAGTCAAGGGAAAAATCCGTATGGATGGGAGGTTCAGACTATAGTTGATGGATGACTGGGAAATAGTCGAAGGATGGCCGGGCTGGCCGAGCAGGACGGACCATATCCGAGAGAAAAATGATTCTGTCCGGGAGAAAGTGGATTATGTCTGGGAGAAAATGGATTACGTCCGAGAGGAAATGGATTATGTCCGAGAGAAATGGATCATGTCCGAGGGAAAAAGGAAAATAGACGAGGCTTTGTGGTTTTAGCCGAGTAAAAATGGGCTGGGCCCATGGGCTGTGAGTTTGGTCGGATAAAAACTAATTTCTCGTGGGGATGGTCGAGCGGTTTAGGCGATATCCGAGAGAAATCAAAGCTGACCGGTATAAACCTGACTGGAACCGGGAGACGCCGGCTATAACCGGGTTAACTAGGTTTTGCGAGCATATAAAAGGGATTTTGAGACTTTTTCTCGAGACAGCCGTATTATTTGAGAGAAATAACGCGTGAAAGAGAGATTGGTCGAGAGAAATCCCATAGTTTCTGATTATCCCGAGAGTTGGCCAAGAGAGATCGAAGTTTCGCCGGCGATTCCGATTATCACCGAGAGATCGAGCGTTCTGTCCGAGTTTCTGTGGATCTGTTTCGACCATTCGTCCTGATTTGAGGGTTTGCCGAGGGAATAACCGAGTTTATCCGAGGATTTCTGAGCGGATCGTGTGATATCCGAGAACACTTCGATTCGTCCGAGAGAATCTTGTAAGTGTTCGGCTATTTTGATTTCTGTTGAGTTTCTGTCGAGTAATTTTGGACTGATCGATCTGAATTATACTGTTTCCGAGGGAATACAGCTTCTTGCCCGAGAAAAAGTGACCAGGTTGAGAGATAACCGAGAGGTGTGGAGTTTTAGCCGGACCAGTCTGAGTGATAGCCGAGAAATCGCAAGTG